GCCAAGAGCTGAGCAAAGAAAAGAGTCCCCTCATCCAGCTGGTCCTGGGGCTGAGTTCACAAACCTGTTCTACTAACACACTGAAGCCTCAGGACCAGAACATCCAATCAATCAGAATAAACCACATTACAACACAGTCTAAACAAAACTACATTACCTATTGGGAAGCAAAATGCAGTGCTATCTGGCCCTAAATCGACAGTACACCATGGCTAACTATTGGACCATGGTTACTGATCAAAATCTCAGAGAAACCTTGACAAAGTAGACAAAGTAGGAGAAAGAGAGGAGGAGCGAGAGGAGGGGAGAGAAAAGGAGGGAGAGGGGGTAGAGAGAAGAGGGGAGAGAGAGGAGGGGAGAGAGAGGATCTAAGCTGTTGGTGAGAGAGAGTGGGAGGGGAGAGAGCTGGTGGAGAGAGGAGGAGAGGGAGCAGAGGGGGGATGAAGGGGGGGAGAAGGAGAGGGGGAGGATAGGGAGGAGAGAGAGAGGAAGAGGGAGGGAGGAAAGAGGAGGGAGAGAGAGGAGGGGCAAAGAGGAGGGGAGAGAAGAGGAAGAAGAAAGAGAGGAGGGGAGAGAGTAAGGAGGAGGGAGAGAAGGAGAAGAGAGGGGAGAGAGAGAGGAGGGGAGGAGGAGGGTAGGAGGGTGGAGAGGAGGGGGAGAGAGGAGGGAAGAGAGAGGGAGGGGGGGAGAGAGAGAGGGGAGAGAGAAGAGAGGGGAGAGGCGAGAGAGAGGAAGAGGAGAAGAGAGGAGGAGGGGAGAGTAAAGGGGTCACGGCTACTCTGGGCTAGAGGCAGAGGTAGATGGCAGAACCCATTAAAGCACTTGCACTCTGGTAGAGTCGACGTGAGTGCAAGAAATAACATAACACACGACACACCACACCGGTACAAACACGCACTACAAGGAAAAAGACATGACACATCGAACACACTCACAGCAACATGCAAAAACAGAAAACAGAGTTGGCGAGCATACTGGCATGATAAGGAGCAGGGATGGAGGCGTTGCAAGGAAGTCTGGACTGGTGGGAGCAGGGCTGGCAAGGCTTCTATCTAAATGTAATCCGTTACTTACTAGTTCTGTCCAAAATTATAATCAGTAATGGAACTTTTGGATTCCCCAAACTCAGTAACATAATGTGATTACTTTCAGTTTGGATTCCTTTCTTCTGAAGAAGACAAACAGGATCCATCAAATGCATTTGGTGTGTCATCATAGTGGTCTCTGATTGGTGGTCATCATTTGGTGTGTCATCATAGTGGTCTCTGATTGGTGGTCATCATTTGGTGTGTCGTCATAGTGGTCTCTGATTGGTGGTCATCATTTGGTGTGTCATCATAGTGGTCTCTGATTGGTGGTCATCATTTGGTGTGTCATCATAGTGGTCTCTGATTGGTGGTCATCATTTGGTGTGTCATCATAGTGGTCTCTGATTGGTGGTCATCATTTGGTGTGTCATCATAGTGGTCTCTGATTGGTGGTCATCATTTGGTGTGTCATCATAGTGGTCTCTGACTTGGTCAGACTCCCTCAGGTGGAACAAACTTAAACTTGTGCCTTTTTTCAAAGCTGAATTCAACGTCATTGAGCAAACAGAAAGGTGTATTTGTTCGCAAACACCCTTTCAGAATTTTTTGAAGTAATCCAATTAGTAATCATCTAGTTTTTCTAAAGTATCTGCAATCAATATTTTTTGCTGGTAACGCAACTGATTAGTTGTTTTTTGTAATCAGATTACATTAATCTGTTACTCCCCAACCCTGGGTGGGAGTGATCCAAAGTGAGAGAGTAACAAAAACACAACCTATTGAAGACACAGGATCACTCCAGCTGTCTCCAGACAAACCCTAACCCTAACACCAACAGGCTACGATCACAGCTGGGTAGTCCTCTCTTACAGACCTAACCACACAGACCTAACCTTACAGACCTAACCACACAGACCTAACCTTACAGACCTAACCTTACAGACCTAACCACACAGACCTAACCACACAGACCTAACCATACAGACCTAACCTTACAGACCTAACCATACAGACCTAACCATACAGACCTAACCTTACAGACCTAACCATACAGACCTAACCATACAGACCTAACCTTACAGACCTAACCACACAGACCTAACCTTACAGACCTAACCTTACAGACCTAACCACACAGACCTAACCACACAGACCTAACCTTACAGACCTAACCACACAGACCTAACCTTACAGACCTAACCATACAGACCTAACCATACAGACCTAACCATACAGACCTAACCATACAGACCTAACCACACAGACCTAACCACACAGACCTAACCATACAGACCTAACCTTACAGACCTAACCTTACAGACCTAACCATACAGACCTAACCACACAGGATCGCTCCAGCTGGGTAGTCCTCTCTCACAGACCTAACCACAAGGCGATACAGACCTAACCACAAGGCGATACAGACCTAACCACAAGGCGATACAGACCTAACCACAAGGCGATACAGACCTAACCACAAGGCGATACAGACCTAACCACAAGGCGATACAGACCTAACCACAAGGCGATACAGACCTAACCACAAGGCGATACAGACCTAACCACAAGGCGATACAGACCTAACCACAAGGCGATACAGACCTAACCACAAGGCGATACAGACCTAATTCGATGTAGCAGAAACACAGTTTGAATCTGTGGTAAACTGCATCAGAAAACACGACCTTACAGAGACTGGGTAGAATACAAGGCCACGTTCAGTTTCCAAACGTTGTCGAACGTTGCAGATAGAAATGCCATGAATAGAGCTGATGTGAGGTCTTATTCTACAGGATGAAAATGTATCCACTCACTAACTGTAAGTCGCTCTGGATAAGAGCGTCTGCTAAATGACTAAAATCTCAAATGTAAAATGAGAGAAGTATGTGCGTGTGTTGCAGGGAGTGATGGTTGTAGGCCTCAAAATGTGTGTCAACACATTTAACTCACTTAGGACATGTTCAGCAGCTCAACTTTAGATTACACACACACAAACACACCAACACACACACACACAAACACACTTCCATATCAATTGCCTTAGAGAGAGAAACATTGCCTGGAAACCCGACGTTGAATTCTACGTTGTGCGGAAATGAGCTCTTGAATCAGGAAAGTTTCCTCTCACGACCTTTACAAGCCAGAACGTTTAATAAATTTATATTTTAACTTACTTTACCGGTTGTCCGTGTAGTTGGGTCTTTTTGCAGGTAGGAATGTGAGAATATATATCCACAGGAAAGGATAATTACATCAACTTTTCAAAGCGCTGGTAGTGCGTTCAGATTTCTGTCACCTGAAGCACAAGATAAGACTACATGCAGGAGACGCATGCATACATAGTTTACATGGTTCTGCCCATGTTTAATAATAATAATATGCCATTTAGCAGACACTTTTATCCAAAGCGACTTACAGTCATGTGCGCATACATTTTTACGTATGGGTGGTCCCGGGGATCGAACCCACTACCCTGGCGTTCCAAGCGCCGTGCTCTACCAGCTGAGCTACAGAGGACCACAGCGCCGTGCTCTACCAGCTCCAGAGGACCAAGCGCCGTGCTCTACCAGCTGAGCTACAGAGGACCAAGCGCCGTGCTCTACCAGCTCCAGAGGACCAAGCGCCGTGCTCTACCAGCTCCAGAGGACCAAGCGCCGTGCTCTACCACTGAGCTCCAGAGGACCAAGCGCCGTGCTCTACCAGCTGAGCTCAGAGGACCAAGCGCCGTGCTCTACAGCTCCAGAGGACCAAGCGCGTGCTCTACCAGCTCCAGGGACCAAGCGCCGTGCTCTACCAGCTGAGCTCCAGAGGACCAAGCGCCGTGCTCTACCAGCTGAGCTACAGAGGACCAAGCGCCGTGCTCTACCAGCTCCAGAGGACCAAGCGCCGTGCTCTACCAGCTCCAGAGGACCAAGCGCCGTGCTCTACCAGCTGAGCTCCAGAGGACCAAGCGCCGTGCTCTACCAGCTGAGCTCCAGAGGACCAAGCGCCGTGCTCTACCAGCTCCAGAGGACCAAGCGCCGTGCTCTACCAGCTGAGCTACAGAGGACCAAGCGCCGTGCTCTACCAGCTGAGCTACAGAGGACCAAGCGCCGTGCTCTACCAGCTGAGCTACAGAGGACCAAGCGCCGTGCTCTACCAGCTGAGCTCCAGAGGACCAAGCGCCGTGCTCTACCAGCTCCAGAGGACCAAGCGCCGTGCTCTACCAGCTGAGCTCCAGAGGACCAAGCGCCGTGCTCTACCAGCTGAGCTCCAGAGGACCAAGCGCCGTGCTCTACCAGCTCCAGAGGACCAAGCGCCGTGCTCTACCAGCTGAGCTACAGAGGACCAAGCGCCGTGCTCTACCAGCTGAGCTCCAGAGGACCAAGCGCCGTGCTCTACCAGCTGAGCTACAGAGGACCAAGCGCCGTGCTCTACCAGCTGAGCTACACAGGACCACAGCGCCGTGCTCTACCAGCTGAGCTACAGAGGACCAAGCGCCGTGCTCTACCAGCTGAGCTCCAGAGGACCAAGCGCCGTGCTCTACCAGCTGAGCTACAGAGGACCAAGCGCCGTGCTCTACCAGCTGAGCTACAGAGGACCAAGAGCCGTGCTCTACCAGCTGAGCTACAGAGGACCACAGCACCGTGCTCTACCAGCTGAGCTACAGAGGACCACGTTTATATGCTTCAGGTGATAGAAATCTGAACGCACTACCATCGCTTCCAAAAAGACCAACCACACAGGCAACCGATAAAGTACATTCAAATATAATTTCATTCAACATTTTGGCTCATTTCTGCCTAACATAGAATAAAATGCAATTCAACATCAGGTTTCCAGCACACACACACACACAGACAGAGAGACTATCTTTGCTGTACAGGTTTTTTGAAAAGAGCCTTAAATCCCATATATAATTATTAGCTCATAAAGTCCACCTTAGACATTCCATATCACCACACACACACACACACACACACACACACACACTCACTCGCTCTCTCTCTCTCTTACCGTCATGAAGGAGACGTTGTTGGGGAAGGTTCCAGGTGTTCCTTGGGCCAGGGGGTAGGGGGGGAGGAGGGGGGGAGCAGCGATGGGACCCCGACACACCCTGAAGGAGATGGGGAACGGAGGGAGGGGGCGACCTGCACCCCGGGGGCCACTAGAGGGCGACAGCAACGACAGGGTTCTCTTCAGCTCCTCTAGAGCGCTACACTCCTCCTTCTTGCCCTCCTCCTCCTCCTTCTCCTTCTTGCCCTCCTCCTCCTCTTCCTCCTCCTCCTTCTTGTCCTCCTCCTCCTCCTCCCTCTTGCCCTCCTCCTCCTCCTCCTCCTCCTCACCAGACGCCATCTTAGTTCCGCTCTGTGTTCTTCCTCCACTCTGCTCAGCTGTCTCTGTTTTCTGTTTACTCTCTCGCTCTCGCCCTCTCCCCCTCTCCCTCTCCCCCCTTCCCTCCTCCCTACCCCTGGTGTCCTGTGTGAGTTGTTCGGACAGGAAGTGGCGAATGTTCTGCCTAGCGGCGTGCACCAGCCGCCCGTCCACGTCAATACCCAGGATGTGGGCTGGGCTAAAGTGACGTGCGATGGCCAGGGTCAGGTGACCGGTGCTGCAGCCAATGTCCAGCACTGTCTTCCCTCTGAACCAATCGGGTCGAAGCAGGCCCAGACGAGGGTCCTGGAACCGCCCCACCTGCCCGTCACGGTAACCGTAGTAACCGTGGTAGCCATAGTAACGGCTGTAGTTGCCGTGCTGGAACCGGTTTTTCTTCTTCTGGGGATTGTGGCGGAAGGAGCTCTGGGGCTGCTGCTGACCTCCCACCGCTGACCCTGACCTCTGACCTCTGAGGCCTGACCCTGGCACCAGCGGGGTGTGGAAGGTGTTGGGTGGGGCAGTGGCGAGGGCGGGGGTTGGAGTGACCGACGAATGGTCCGACCTCATCGAGGTGGTACGCCTCCGTTTACGCTGCCGATGGCCGCCGTCGCCATGGGGACGGGGTTTAGAGGCAGATCCAAGCGGCGGGTGTGTGTGTCTCCGGGGCAGAATGGGCGGGACTACCTCGTCCCGACAGTTGATGGAGGTGTTGAGTTCGTAGGGCAGAGGAGACTGTGGCACTACACTGCCCTCTCTGGAAGCCTCCGGTACTGCAGCTAACGCATCACTAACAGGGAACAGAGGCACAGACGCTAGAGCCAACACCTCACCTCCTGTCCCTGAATCACCCCCAGCTTCTACCTTTGACCCCTCAGCATGTGTGGGGGGTTCGGGCTGCGCCCCCCCTCCTCCTCCCCCGTGGTGACGGTTGCGGTGTCTCTTCCTGTTTTTGATGGGGGAGACCAGCACCCCTCCCCCCTCCTCCCCCTCTCCTCCCCCACTCTTCAGGTTCAGGGGGTCTGTGATGTCACGCGGTACCAGGATCTCTACAGGGTCTCTGGCCCGGGCCGGTAGGGGCGAGGACTTGGGCGTCTCGGCGTTCAGCGCGCGGCTCACCTCCTCGTCCAATAGAGAGTTGAGGTTCAGCGGGTCGAAGATGTTCCCGCCCAACAGGAAGTTGGAGGGAAGGACGGGGTCTGATTGACTGTCACTGTTGGCACGACGACGACGCTTCCCGAAGCCCGGGTGCTTGAAGCTGCCGCCCAGGGAGTAGCGCCTCTTCCCCATTCGCTGCTGTCCTGGAGGCAAGACCTGGGGGTTGTTGGGGGGGGGCTGAAGGCCGTTTTTGGTCTTTAGGGGGTGTGTACTTCTTGGTTTGGGGCCGTGGGGGTGTGGCTGTTCCGTTAGAACCATGCTGCCGGTGAATCCGGTTGGTCCCAGACAGGGAGGGTGAGGGGCCATCATTACCCCACCCACCCTGTCCACTCCCCCCTCTCCTCCTGACGCAGGGCCTTCTGGGACAGCAGCGTCGCCCCGCCCATCACGCGGTAGAACAGTCTCTTTTTCCAATGACATCCTGATCATATTTTTCCTGTGGGAGGGGCCTCAGGCACCTCGGCCAATGGCATCGATCTACAGACAGGAAGTGGGAGGAGTTAGGGGGTCATTTACACACCAGATAAAAAAAACACAGCAGATCTAAGGTTGCATCTCAAATGGCACCCTATTCCCTATATAGTGCACTACTTTAGACCAGAGTCAAGCTGCCACAAATAGGGCTCTGGTCAAAAGTAGTGCACTATGAAACACTTCCCTCCAAACCTGTTCCTGTTACTTACTCCGCAGAATTTCTCTTCCTCCTGTGGTCTCACAACTCTCTCAGTCAGTCAGTTAAGCTGAGCGGTGTATCATTCTCTCTCTCTGAATGTCAGTCTCTACTCACGCCTAGACAGAGATAAGGTGCACAGCCAAACTATCTAACAGGCCAAGCTCTGTGAGCGGTGTGTGTGAGTGAGTGAGTGAGTGGGAGCTTTGCGAGTTCTCTTAACGCCACACTCCCCCTGTACGTGCCGTGCGGGGCTCCGCCTCCCGCGTATTGAAATATAACACCTAATGTGCATAAACACGCCCCTCGGATTCAGTCGTCACTCAATCTCATGAATAACTCAGCAGGAGCGCGAGCTGCGTGGAAAAGCGCTCAGCCACGCACAGTGAGTGACAGCCGGACGGCCATCCCCCTCATACACACACACACACACACACACACACACTGCCCTCCCCGACCGAAGCTGCTCTCTCTCCCCGCCTTCTCTCTCCACGGCGGCTCCCTCCCCCGAGAGAGACACTGAACGCTTTAAAAAAGACAACAAAAATCCACCCATTAACTGACTTAGCGAGAGGTTTCCTAACGTTCTCCTACAGCGAGTAAACCTGACCTCATGCACTTCCTATTAAAGTACACAAACGGATCGAAATCATAACACCTACAAGAGACCCTTTCCGACAAAAAAAAAAATCAATTGTGTCAGATCATTAAAAAAATGTCGTCCTGTCTGATCAGCTATCTGTGTGTGTGTGTGTGTATATATATGTATGTAAGCTACTGCGTTCTCTCTCTAAACTCTGAAACGTTTCTGCAACTGCTTGAGCTTAGCTATTTATCGCTGAGTTTCAGCGGAGCCACGCTCTTTATATGCCCCTGCAAACACACGCGCCATGGGCGACATACTATCCGACCAATAGCTGTTCTTTCTGGTGCCCGTCCTCCTCAAAGTGACCAATGGGATCCTCGCATCGGCTTGGAAAGAGTACTCTGTCCCGCCCCCCTTAGGAGAGGTATCCCCGCCTCTGCCTGTCAGAATTGTCAACTCATCGATTTTGGCGTGTCATTTAGTCCAATAAACGTTTAAAATTATGTTAATCAACGCTATATTTGATACAGACACCGACTGAACCACTCAGATGCGTGTTAGTTCGGTCTGTGCGTGTCGAGGAAGTTGTTTGTTAGCGACAGAACAGGAATCTGAAACGGACACCCCCCAGCCCATGTCAACAAGAAGGCAGTTAGCGAAAACTATATTTGACTGCAGATAGTCTATGAATACCCCCATCAGTTCAACCAGACAATAGTATAAAAGGGAGCATATTTGGTAACGATAGACAACAAAGAGCTGTCTTATATTAAGCGGTTCCCCTCCCCCACTCCCCTCCCCTCCCAACATCTCGCCCATGTGTAAAGGAACACGGCTTATGGGTAATGTATTTTTTCAATACCTGCCAGGATACATCCCGACACAGTGAACTATTTGCACACAACGGGTTGAAAAGTTACCTAACTCGGAAAATGTAGCCCTTTGCTAAACCCATCCAGTCACCATAGTCCCATGAAACGAGCAAAACTACGAAGCATAGCAACATCCACAGAGTGGGCCATAGAGACCACTGGCCAATAGAGAACTGGCTCTCAGAAGTGGCGGTAAAAACCCGTCGCGAGGCCAGTCAAGAATTGCAGTGCTAGCTAGCTACACAAAACCACCTCACACGACGACAGAGATAAACGACGACTTTCACAATACAAAACTTAACAGCTACTTAGGTTATATCGGATATATATACCAGTCTTCAACCGGAAAGGCGATCTACACCAAAGATACATCTCACTTAAGGAAAATGGAAGTCGTTGGGGGTAAATATCCAACGTTAGCTAGCTACGAGCGACAATGATGTTAGCTGGCCAGTGTGACGCTAGCTAGCTATTATAACTTTTGCTACTGTCTGCATCTAGTTAGCTAGTTTGCTTGCTAGCTAACGTTAGCCAGCTTGCTAGATAGATAGTTATCCGTTTAGCTACGTTAACGTCGTTAGTCCTTTGGCTAGCTAGCTAAGTTAGTCGAGGATTGTTGCTAACTTTAGGGAACTAGCTAGCTAATTTGCTAGCAGTTAATTAAATATCTAATTACATCGCTAACTTGGCTAGCTTTGGATGTGTCCACATGTTTACATAGACTGCATCATGACATGTCTTTGGTAACATTACAGGTCAGAAAAAGAAGACAAAGTTTGCCCCGCTGGTGCCCGGTGAGAAGAAGCCAGGGCGTGGAGAGAATGGAGAGGTGGAAAAGAGTGACAATAAGTGGAAAGGAGAGGGGGGTGGAAATAAGGAGATAAACATTAAGGTAGGAGAGAAGTCAGGAGGATCAGGTGCAGAAACAGGTGAAGGAGAGAGAGGAGTAGAGAGCAAGGACAAGGGTAAGGCCTCTGGGTTAGAGAAGAAAAGAGGAGAACAGATGAAGAAAGAAGGAAAGAAGAAGATGCCAGATACAGAAAAAGCGATGGCTGCAGATCAAGGGGTTCCCCAACAACAGCAAGGTAAAGAGGGAGCAAAGGAGAAGAAAAAGCTGAAGAGTAAGGAGGAAGACCAACCCAGTAAGGAAACAGATCAAGGGAAGGTGAGACAGACTGTGAAAAAAAAGAAGAAAGAGAATGAGAAGGTCAGAAAGGAAGGGAAAGAGACGAAAAATAAGAGAGAAAGGGACGAGAAGGGAGCAGAGACAGAGAGCAATAAGAAGGTAGGAGTACAGAATAATTTGTTGTGATAAGAATACAGTTAGTAGGCCTTACTTAGCCAGTAGTAGTACAGTTAGTGGGCCTTACTTAGCCAGTAGTCATACAGTTAGTAGGCCTTACTTAGCCAGTAGTCATACAGTTAGTGGGCCTTACTTAGCCAGTAGTCATACAGTTAGTAGGCCTTACTTAGCCAGTAGTTATACAGTTAGTAGGCCTTACTTAGTATAATATAAATAATATAATATGCCATTTAGCAGACGCTTTTATCCAAAGCGACTTACAGTCATGTGTGCATACATTTTTTTTTTGTGTATGGGTGGTCCCGGGGATCGAACCCACTACCTTGGCGTTACAAGCGCCGTGCTCTACCAGCTGAGCTACAGAGGACCACTACTTAGCCAGTAGTCATACAGTTAGTAGGCCTTACTTAGCCAGTAGTCATACAGTTAGTAGGCCTTACTTAGCCAGTAGTCATACAGTTAGTAGGCCTTACTTAGCCAGTAGTAATACAGTTAGTAGGCCTTACTTAGCCAGTAGTCATACAGTTAGTAGGCCTTACTTAGCCAGTAGTCATACAGTTAGTAGGCCTTACTTAGCCAGTAGTCATACACTTAGTAGGCCTTACTTAGCCAGTAGTCATACACTTAGTAGGCCTTACTTAGCCAGAAGTAATACAGTTGGTAGGCCTTACTTAGCCAGTAGTCATACAGTTAGTAGGCCTTACTTAGCCAGTAGTAATAGTTAGTAGGCCTTACTTAGCCAGTAGTAGTACAGTTAGTAGGCCTTACTTAGCCAGTACTCATACAGTTAGTAGGCCTTACAAAGCCAGTAGTAATAGTTAGTAGGCCTTACTTAGCCAGTAGTAGTACAGTTAGTAGGCCTTACTTAGCCAGTAGTCATACAGTTAGTAGGCCTTACTTAGCCAGTAGTCATGCAGTTAGTAGGCCTTACTTAGCCAGTAGTCATGCAGTTAGTAGGCCTTACTTAGCCAGTAGTCATACACTTAGTAGGCCTTACTTAGCCAGTAGTCATACAGTTAGTAGGCCTTACTTAGCCAGTAGTCATACAGTTAGTAGGCCTTACTTAGCCAGTAGTAATACAGTTAGTAGGCCTTACTTAGCCAGTAGTCATACACTTAGTAGGCCTTACTTAGCCAGAAGTAATACAGTTGGTAGGCCTTACTTAGCCAGTAGTCATACAGTTAGTAGGCCTTACTTAGCCAGTAGTAATAGTTAGTAGGCCTTACTTAGCCAGTAGTAGTACAGTTAGTAGGCCTTACTTAGCCAGTAGTCATACAGTTAGTAGGCCTTACAAAGCCAGTAGTAATAGTTAGTAGGCCTTACTTAGCCAGTAGTCATGCAGTTAGTAGGCCTTACTTAGCCAGTAGTCATGCAGTTAGTAGGCCTTACTTAGCCAGTAGTCATACAGTTAGTAGGCCTTACTTAGCCAGTAGTCATACACTTAGTAGGCCTTACTTAGCCAGTAGTCATACAGTTAGTAGGCCTTACTTAGCCAGTAGTCATACAGTTAGTAGGCCTTACTTAGCCAGTAGTAATACAGTTAGTAGGCCTTACTTAGCCAGTAGTCATACACTTAGTAGGCCTTACTTAGCCAGAAGTAATACAGTTGGTAGGCCTTACTTAGCCAGTAGTCATACAGTTAGTAGGCCTTACTTAGCCAGTAGTCATACAGTTAGTAGGCCTTACTTAGCCAGTAGTCATACAGTTAGTAGGCCTTACTTAGCCAGTAGTCATACAGTTAGTAGGCCTTACTTAGCCAGTAGTAATAGTTAGTAGGCCTTACTTAGCCAGTAGTCATACAGTTAGTAGGCCTTACTTAGCCAGTAGTCATACAGTTAGTAGGCCTTACTTAGCCAGTAGTAATAGTTAGTAGGCCTTACTTAGCCAGTAGTAGTACAGTTAGTAGGCCTTACTTAGCCAGTAGTCATACAGTTAGTAGGCCTTACTTAGCCAGTAGTAATAGTTAGTAGGCCTTACTTAGCCAGTAGTAGTACAGTT